TTTATATGTATTAATATACATTAATTAAAAACTACAGTATTTGTTGTACGTAAAACTAATTAATCTCTATAAAATGTATTTTTTGTGTGAATATTTTTGGGTTTCTGGAACGGATTAATTGTATTTACCATTATTTCTTATGGGAAAATTTATTGCCTTCGAAATTTAGACTTTTCGAATTTGAATAGCTCTTGAACGATTAAGTTCGATTTTGAGGTTCCACTGTATATGTCTTACAAGCCACTGTGTTTGACATATATCTACTCATCAATTCTAGTGGCTTCAAATGAAGCAGGAGAAAGCTGGTAGCCCACATGTGAGCGGAATGGGTCTGTGTGTCAGTGTGCAACATATTAAAAAAATCCGCAGCAGGCAGTGCATAATGAGAAAAAAATCTACGACTGTTTTTTTTTTAATTAAATGACCGACTTTGCGGTTATTTTTGTATGGTATTTATGGTTGTATTCTTATTTTTGGTCTCATTTGATAGAATGGAAAGCATATTATAGAAATAGAGGTGATTGTGATGGGTTTTTACTATGAAAAGAACCTTTGAAATGGAGCGCTCAAATTCAGGGGAATGTTTGATTTTTGCCAATGTCAAAAGTAAACAAATGATCGTCATTTTCAATTAAATGTCCAAGTAGCCATTCTTCTATGCAGTCATGAATGGGTTGAAATTATTTCATACAATTATTACAATATTGCAGTCGTCTGCATAACAGTAAATCTTTCTATTTTTGAAATGAATAAAAAATTCCAAAATAGAAGCAGAGAGTATATCAGAGGGGCTGGAAAATGACTGTGAAACAAAAAAAAAATTTATTTAGAGCCAGGAATGTCTGCATTGTTCATTCTGGACCCTATTTTGAAATTTTCTTACTTTTAATTTTCGTGAAATTAGGCCCAAATTGCAAATTCTGACCACGTTATGGGTAGTTGAAATCGGTAAATGGCAGTTTCTTGTACTCAATCGATACAAAAAATGGAGTTCTAAAGAAATAGGTATGAGTTTGGTCGAACTGGGCAACAATTGAATTAATCAAAATAAAAGCTCAAAGTGGCGAAAATCGCTGATTTGTAAATATCGCCGGAGGTCGCTAACTTCTCGAGAGCGTAATTCCATCAGTTTTCCATCAAAATTTCGTTCTTTTGTGTCATTACCAATCAGGGAAAAGGATCTCTTTACCATTTCATGAGAAAAATTTTTTTGCTTTTCGGAAATTGCGGGACACCAGGAGACACCTCAGGATTTGGGGTTGCGACAGTCAAGGGGTTATACAATAGGGTCCAGAATAAACAAATAAAACAATATCGCTGATTTGTAAATATCCCGAGGTCGCTAAACTTCACGAGAGGCGTAAATTCCATCAGTTTTCATCAAAATTTCGTCTTTGGTGTCATTACAATCGGAAAGATTCTCTACCATTTCATGAGGCTGCCGAAAATTTTTTTTTCTTTTTCCGGAAATTTTGCGACCAGGAGACACCTCAGGATTTGGGTTGCGACAGTCAAGGGTTAAAAAATACGGGTCCAGATAAACAATGTAAACATTCCTAGCACTAAAAAAAAACATATCCTAGGTCATCTCAGTTACCATCCTCAGGGCTTCCCATATTACGCTCGCTTTAAATTTTAAATTATATCCAAACAAATTTATAGAAGATTTTACTGTTATGCAGACTACTGCATTATTGTAATAATTGTACTATAATGTCAATTTATCCTAAAGCGTATTAGACTGGCCAGCTGGCGCATTTGGACGAGTGACATATTTATGCACTCTGGGAATATTGGCTACGTTTTGTCCTGAAACTAATCAAAATTGCCTATTTCTCTCCCATATAATTTCCATTCACTCACCATCTCCGTCCACTGAGAATGCAACCTTAAAAACCCATACGAAAGTACACTGCAAAATCGCAGTTTTTCCCATCATGCACTGCATGAGGCAGGACTTTTTTATGGTTCACATTCACCACTAAGACCCAGTTCTCTAATATGTAGGCCAATATTTACGGTACACTGCTTATCTAAGCTGAGCTCATCAAATAGTACTACAAGCACCTGCCTGCAAAGGGTTAAGTCCAGAACTGAAACATTTTCTAATAAATATGTCCTAGTGTTTGCTCACAAGTCGTTTTTTACATCTATGATTAGTCATTGTAGCTACGTGAGACTAGCTAGTGAGACTAGTTGTCTCACGTTGCTCTCAACGTGAGACTAGCTAGTCTCGCGTTGCTCTATTTTCAGAATGTATATATTCAAGGTTTTCAATCGTTGTAGACCTTATACCTCCTTCATAAAACACAGGTATTTGTTGAGTAAGGCTGTCAAACCAAGTACATGTGGTCCTCAATTAATCGATCCATATCCGTTCCTGGAAGTGGGAACTATTATCGAAATTGACGATTTTCGATCAATTTTCCCATAAGATATAATGTAAATCCAATTACTTCGTTCCAGACACCCAGAAGTATCAACAACAATTTTTATTTTTACTAAAAGATAGATTTACATGCACCAAAAGAATGAAACATTCAACATGACAGTTACTTTATTGAAGGCTGTTGTTGATGATTGGAAGACAGGGAGGAGAGAGGGAAGAGAGGTTATTTGGAAGGGGGAATCCCCTCCATAAGGACTCTAGGGCACTAATAAAATGTATAAATGAACATTGGTATAGGGGTAGTTGAGGTGGGAACTGTCTGCCCCAGTAGGGTGATTTGAAGCTAAAATCATTGGGTAGTTTCAAATTAGGCCTGGAATACAAAAACACGTGTGAGAGGGTTGGATTTGAGTGGACTTGCACACTGAGCTTATTGCTTGGGAAGCATCTGTTTGTTAGTGGAGTTGGATTTGTGAAGGACCGGCCTAGTATGGGCCAACAGGCTTATTGCAGTGTTCCTCCTTTCCAATGTTCTAAAAAGCTATGGCTTGGGGTAGTTTCACTTTTAGGGTTGGATAAATACACGGTGAAAGGGGTTGGATCTGAGTCGACTTGCACTGAGTTTATTGGCTTGGGTAGCATCTGTTATGTTAGTGGGTTGGATTTGTGAAGGACATGGCCTGTATGGCCTGCAGCCTGTTACCAGGGTTCATACTTTCATTAGTTCTTATTTAACATGACACTTACCGTAGGGTGATCGAGGCTAAGACTTGGGTAGCTTCAGAGAGAGATTGGACAAATTACGATTTGGAGGAGCTGTGTTTGATTTGTGTCATTGGGTACGGGAGTAAATTCTTGGGTTGCTTTGGGTAGAGGTCATTTTGATAAGGACCTGCCTTGTATGGGCCAGTGGACCTGCAGTGTTCTTCCATTGTTATGTTCTTATAGGCTATTTGTGTGAGGGAGGGATGGCAAGTTTATTGTTGGAGAATATGAAACTAATATCAACTCTATGGCTTATTTATCTATCACAACTCAACTAATATGACATAATAAACAATATTAATAACATAGAAACATGGAATATACTGAAGAATGAATAAAATAAGTCATTACGTATGTCACGAGAGGTGTTGTGTTTGTAGATGAATGGTTCAGAGAACCGACATGTTGATAAATTAGACACATGTTTCTATTCTATTCAAGATTGATGGACTGACCACATCGACTCAAGGTTGAGGGACTGATTACCTCATTCTCCTCCTGTTCTTCAAGATTCTCCTTTGTATGGACTGATGAAGCCATTGTGTGGCGAAACGTTTCCTCAATAAAGATACCCAAGAGTTGCACATGTGTCTAATTTATCAGGTGTTGTAGAGTATTTTTCTACAAACTTTTTCATAAATTATGCATTTCTCACATTCTTTACCAAAGGGATGGCACTAGAAGCTTTCTTTGGTGGTAGAAGGTAGTAGTGTTGGTGGTAGAAGGTAGTAGTGATGGTGGTAGTAGGTAGTTGTGATGGTGGTAACAGTTGTAATAGTGGTAGAAGGTTGTAGTGATGGTGGTGAGGGTTCCTTCTTTAGTGATTCAGCAATTCTACCAACTCCTCCAATGTTGTTGGAGTTATATAGGGCTACAAAAACCACCGCCGCCTCACCACCATTATGGACGGCTTACACTCAGTGGCCCTTATATACCCAACAACAACACAACACCTCTCGTGACATACGTAATGACTTATTTTATTCATTCTACAGTATATTCCATGTTTCTATGTTATTAATATTGTTTATTATGTCATATTAGTTGAATTTTGATAGATAAATAAGCCATAGAGTTGATATTAGTGTCATATTCTCCAACAATAAACCTTGCCATCCCTCCCTCACACAAATAGCCTATAAGAACATAACAATGGAAGAACACTGCAGGCCCACTGGCCCATACAAGGCAGGTCCTTATCAAAATGACCTCTGAAGCTTTATTTGGAGCCATGGTAGCTTATTTAGCACTTGCAAGCACTAAAATCAATGGAATATTATGAAATATTTCGTAGGAGCATGTGAGGAGACCGTCACTCACTGGTAAACAATGGCACACTGGCTGGGAAGGAAAGGCCGAGGCGGCTCAGAGCGCGAGTACGTGTCCAGGACGAAGGACTATTAGGACTATTAGCGAGTTACCGGACCATTTGCGAGCCAATATTTTGACGAAAAAACAGGACTATTTCCGAAATGGACGACTTTCAGGCCGGACGATTATTGAGGGACCACTGCAATTAACAGAAGCACAGTTAAAAAAAAAAATTACATTTGTGGGGTAGCATTAAGCCTGTAGGGATCAATACAGTGTCTGGGGAATTGGAGGCAACTGAGTTCAGTCCAAGAAACTGAAGGACAATTGTAATTCCTTGGATCAAGAGCCCTCGCCAGCATCAAGGAACCTACCTGAGAGAAGCTCTGATAAAGCCTCTTGTAAAACACTATACTCAAATTACCTTTCCTGACTAATTAGTTGGTAACCTATAAAACTGTAATGATTAACTTCTTAAACAGTAATCGTGTTTATTAAATAGAGCACAATAACTAAAATGGTACAGTGTACTTACTGGAACATTTACAGTGCCACTCACAGTTCCTGGTTCCAGCTTGATGTTGGGTCTTTTTCTCTTCTGCCCCACTTTCATTTCAGAAGCCAATTTCTGCATCTGACAATATAAGTTTTTATAAGTACCATTATCTAAATAATCAAAATGAAATATTTATTGAAAAGATCAATTTTTTAACAACAGCTGTCTCCCACCAAGGTATGATGAGCCAAACCAGAAAATACATCTACCATCATTCATTCAATAGCTGTCTTGCCAGAAGTGAGCTAACCTCACAATTCAGATTACACTCCGACTACAACAACCCTACTTCTGCTTCAGAGTGCAGACAGTAGAACTATATACAAAAAATGATGTACAGTGGACCCCCGCATAGCGACCTTAATCCGTGCAAGAGGGCTGGTTGTTATGAGAAATGTTCGGTATGCGAATGAATTTTCCCCATAAGAAATAATGGAAATCAAATTAATCCGTGCAAGACACCCAAAAGTATGAAAAAAAAAATTTTACCACATGAAATATACATTTTCCTACACACAAAGAGAAGGATACATGCACAATAGTAGAGTAGTACATGCACAATATATATTGTGCATGTACTACTCTACTAAATGAAGAATAAATGACACTTACCTTTATTGAAGATGCAGCAATGACTGATGAGACACTGTGTCCTGGGAGATGCCTTTTCCTCCTGAGTACTGTAGGTCCTGTTTGGCATTTTCTTCCAGAACAGGCCTTATCACACTGTATGCCACTACGATTCTTAAATCTCTCAAACCAATCTTTGCTGGCTTTAAATTCACCAATATGAGCACTAGTTCCAGGCATTTTTCCCTGTTCACCTGGGTGTTAGTCGACTGGTGTGGGTTGCATCCTGGGAGACAAGATTAAGGACCCCAATGGAAATAAGTTAGACAGTCTTCGATGACACTGACTTTTTTGGGTTATCCTGGGTGGCAAATCCTCTGGGGTTAATTGTTTCTTGGTATTCTCAATAAGCCACACCAACAACGGTGCTACAGCAGCAGCAGCAGCAGCTGACAGTGCTACAGCAGCAGCAGATGATGCTACAGCAGCAGCAGACGGTACTACAGCAGCAGCAGACGGTACTACAGCAGCAGCAGCAGCAGCTGACGGTGGTACAACAGCAGCAGCAGCTGACAGAGCTACAGCAGCAGCAGACGATGCTACAGCAGCAGCAGACGATGCTACAGCAGAGCAGCAGCAGCTGACAGTGCAGCAGCAGCAGCAGCTGACGGTGGTACAGCAGCAGCAGCAGCTGTCTCACCAATAGTAGCGATGGTTGATTGGGGTTTATTATACAACTTGGCCAGCTCGGAAGGACAGCACTCCACTTTCATACTTCTTCAATGTTCTTTTCTTTATCTCTATAGTAATCTCACCCTTATTGCTGTTTAGGGTTGGCACTAGAGCTTTCTTGGGGCCCTGGTCACTTATTTTCAGATTAAAATCACCAAAAACACTGTAATAATACGAAATGTTCCGATTTGTATGCTTGGATGTTACCGCGGAGGCTGGTGGTAAACAATGGTCACCGGCGGACATGTGAGGCTGGCTAAGGGGCGCACATTGGATGCGTCTCGGACGAAGAGCAGCTGAGCAGCGTTTTTGAGCGGTATGTGAGGAAAATTTTTGGATAAAAGCAAGCGGTATGCGGATGAACGTTATGCGATGCGTACCGGTATGCGGGGGTCCACTGTATGCAGTAAAACATCATTGGCCACATTTTCGATTTTTTCATGCTTTTGGTATTTTTTAAAAAAATTTAGGAAATATTCAAAAAATATTTCTGAATTTATCGAAATTTTTTGGGCTTTTTGAAAATTTTGTATATACTTTAAAATATTGAAAAGCTCGAAAAATTTCAATTGCATTAGCAATTCTGATTAAAAAAAGTTGAAAATCCATGGATTTTAGCTAAATATCAGGTTGTCTGGAAAAGTGTTTAAATGCTCCAAATCGTCAAAAATATGCAGTAAAAACATCATTTTTACCATATTTTCGATTTTTTCAATGCTATTGCTATTTTTAAAAAAACTGACGCATTTAAAAAAATAAAAAAAATATGGTTAAAATGGTGTTTTACTGCTATATTTCGACGTTTTGAGCATTTAGAACACTCTAGCAATTCTGATAAAAAAGTTTGAAAATCAATGACTTTAGCACTAAAATGTCAGGTTTGTCTGAAAAAGTGTTCCTAAATGCTCCCTAACCATCGTCGAAACCTACTGCGTAAAATCTCTCCCCACCCCTCTCCCCCCCCCTTCGCCCCCCCTATTGCGCTCCGGATGTTTTCACTCGCGCTTTGGTATTTTTAAAACTAATATGAAATATATGAAATGCTAGAAATATATGAAATTAGCTGAAGCATGAAAAAAATCGAAAAAAGATGGCAAAATGATGTTTTTCATGCTATTTCGACGATTATAGAGATTTAGAACACTTTTCAGACAAACCTGACATTTTTTAGCTAAAATTCATTGGATTTTCAAACTTTTTTATCAGAATTGCTAGAAGTGTTCTAAATGCTCCAAATCGTCGAAATCATGCAGTATAACCACCATTTTACCATATTTTTTTATTTTTTAATGCTTCAGGTTTTTTAAAAATAGCAAAAAGCATTGAAAAATCGATAAATATGGTTTAAAATGTGTTATACTGCTTATTTTGACGATTTGGTCATTTAGAACACATTTGTCAGGGCGACAAATCCTGGATATTGTTGGACTAGAAAATTCATGGATTGTTTCAAACTTTTTATATAGAATTGGTATAATGCAATTGAATTTTTCGAGCTTTCAAATATTTTAAAGTATATTACATATTTCTTCAAAAAGCCCAAAAAATTTCGATGAATTCGAAATATTTTTGAATATTTCATTATATTTTTTACAAAAAAATACCAAAAGCATTGAAAAAATCGAAAAAATTTGGCATAATGATGTTTTACTGCATACAGTGGACCCCCCGCATACCCGTACGCATCGCATAACGTTATCCGCATACCGCCTTGCTTTTATCGCAAAAAAATTTGCCTCACATACGCCTCAAAAACCTGCCTCACTGCTCTTAGTCCCGAGAGCATCCAATGTGGCCCTTAGCCAGCCTCACATGTGCCGCCGTGGGTGACATTGTTTACCAGCAGCCTCGCGGTAACATCCAAGCATACAATGGAACATTTCGTATTATTACAGTGTTTTTGGTGATTTATCTGGAAATAAGTGACCATGGGCCCAAGAAAGCTTAGTGCCAACCCTACAGCAATAAGGGTGAGAATTACTATAGATATAAAGAAAAAGTCATTGATAGTATGAAAAGTGGAGTGCGTGTCTCGAGCTGGCCAAAGTTGTATAATAAACCCCAATCAACCATCGCTACTATTGGTGAGACCAGCTGATGCTTGCTGCTGTACACCGTCAGATGCTGCTGCATGCTGCACTGTCAGCTGCTGCTGCCTGCTGTAGCATCGTCTGCTGCTGCTTGTAGCATCGTTTGCTGCTGCTGGTAGCTCTGTCATGCTTGCTGCTGCTGTTGTACCACCGTCCGCTGCTGCTGGCTGCTGGCTGTATACCGTCTGCTGCTTGCTGTAGTACGTCTGTGCTGCTGGCCTGTAGCATCGTTGCTGCTGCTGTAGCACTGTCAGCTGCTGCTGTGCTGCATTGTAGCACCGTTGTTGGTGTGGCTTATTGAGAATACCAAGAAACAATTAACCCAGTGGATTCACACCCAGGATAACCCAAAAAAAAGTCAGTGTCATCGAAGACTGTTCTAACTTATTTCCATTGGGAGGGTCCTTATTCTTGTCTCCCAGGATGCAACCCACACCTGTGACTACACAGGTGACCAGGGAATAAATGCCTGGAACTAGTGCTCATATTGGTGAATTTAAAGGCCAGCAAGATTGGTTTGGAGAGATTTTAAGAATCGGAGTGGCCATACAGTTGTGATAAGGCTGTTCTGGAAAGAAAATGCCAAAACAGGACCTACAGTACTCAAGGAGGAAAAGGCACTCCCAGGACACAGTGTCTCATCAGTAATTGCTGCAATCTTCAATAAAGGTAAGTGTCATTTATTCTTCATTTAGTAGAGTAGTACATGCACAATATATATTGTTCATGTACTACTCTAATATTGTGCATGTATCCTTCTCTTTGTTGTGTAGGAAAATGATATATTTCATGTGGTAAAATTTTTTTTTTTCATACTTTTGGGTGTCTTGACGGATTTAATTTGGTTTCCATTATTTCTTATGGGGAATATTATTCCGCTACCGAACATTTCTCATTAACAACCAGCCCTCTTGCACGGATTTTTTTAAGGTCGCTATGAGGGGGTCCATGTACATCATTTTTTGTATATAGTTCTTACTGTCTGACACTCTGAGCAGAAGTAGGTTGTTGTAGCGGAGTGTAATCTTAATTGTGAGGTTAGCTACTTCTGGCAAGACAGCTATTGAATGACTGATTGGTAGATGTATTTTCTGGTTTGGTCTTCATCAATACCTTGGTGGGAGACAGCTGTTGTAAAAAATTGATCTTTTCAATAAAATTTTCATTTGATTATTTAGGTTAATGGTACTTATAAAAACTTATATTGTCAGTTGCTGAAATTGGTTCTGAAATGAAAGTGGGCAGAAGAGAAAAGGACCCAACTCAAGCTGGAACAGGAACTGTGAGTGGCACTGTAATGTTCCAGTAAGCTACAGTACCATTCTTAGTTATTGTGCTCTATTTAATAAACACGATTACTGTTTACAGAAGTTATCATTAAATTTTTAAGGTTACCAACTAATTAGTCAGGAAAGGTAATTTGGAGTATAGTGTTTTAAAAGTGGCTTTATCGGAGCTTCTCTCAGGTAGGTTCTGATGCTGGCGAGGGCTCTTATCCAAGGAATTAAATTGTCCTTCAGTTTCTTTGGACTGAACTCAGTTGCCTCAATTCCCTGACACTGTATTGAGCCTACGGCTTAATGCTTAACCCACAAATGTAATTTTTTTTTTTAACTGTGCTTCTGTTAATTGCAGTGGTCCCTCAATATTCGTCCGGCCTGAAAGTCGTCCATTTTCGGAAAATAGGTCCGTTTTTTCGTCAAAAATA